TATTATCTATTTAAAGTTCTAGTTTCGGAAATGGTTTCAAAAATCAGTTGTAAAGTTGGAGATTTACTGTCTGATTCACTTGCGAGTCATTGGCTTTTATTTTTATGAAGGGTATAAAGTATCATTCAAGGAAGAAAATAACTTAAATCTGCATAAGAGAATAACAAGGCTGAAGAATTTTGCTAATTTTTAGTTTATTGTGTACACACGTATATATAAAAAGTAATATACATAATATAGATAACGTTACGGAATGCTTCAGAAAATCGCTGAGATTTCAACACAAAAGCATGTTTTGGCATTCCTTAAACTGAGAGTTCTTTGTCAAACTGTTTATACCTCTGCCATGTGTGAACAATACAAGCGCACAAACTATTCGTAGAGATTGCGCCAAAATTAGTATTTCAGGATCAATGAAGACTGACTCAAGGCCCTTTCTTAAATATGGCTTCAAATTGTTTCATTGAACTTATTGTAGGAGTAGAGTGCTTGTAAGATGCAGTAGGTTCAGTTTTCACCGTTTCCTCTAAATTTTGAAAATTGCACAAGTTTAAAATTGGGTACCCTTGTCTAACGACATTATTGAGGGTGGAGATTTTTTCTTAAAAAGAAATTTGTTCTTAACAATTAGTTCTTCAAATATTGTAGTTTCTTTTTTTTTAATTTTCATGTAATTTTAAGTGAAAGTTTTCTGGAAAGCAGTTCCAAATTTTATTGTATTGCATTTGCACGTTCAAATGCTTCCAAAGATTTCTTACAATATTTCTTGAAAACTCAAGAAATATAGTAGAATTATTTTTTGGTTTACTAGGTCATTTCTGTGTATTTATGGACTTGAAACAAAATATGTAATGGTATTGTTCATACCCTTGTGAGCCTTACGGATCCTTTATACCAGAGGCCCTTTTGAACACTTCATGGCCCGCTGTAATATCAACACAACTCAAACAACATTTTTATGAATTCGATTTATTGAAGTTAAGATACATGCAAACACCCTAAATAAATGGCATAATGCTCAAATAAGTAAAACAAAACTTGCTTAAATGATATGAATATTGCAATTTTGGAATGTTGCTGTGAATTTAGAATTGTCATCAGTCACTCATATTTCACTGTTACATATCACCTTTTTTTAGAGATGTATGTGCTTCTTGAGTAGCAGTATTACTAGTAGTAATAATATGTAACTTGAACGTCGGCTAACATCCTTGAAATGTTATTTTTTGAAGATATGAAATATTCTTAATTGTGTTTGGCAATGGAGAGAAATAACCTAAAAGTTCCATTTCATGAGGACACCTCACACTTTTATTTTCCATATTACTCTCAAATCACCAAAAATAATTTTCATATGTTGTAGAGATTTTATTGGAAGTCCGTAACTTTGTTAGCTTCTGCAAGAATTTCCGCAGGAACTTCACAATAATTTTTCTTTTTGAATGAATAAGTCGGTCCAACAACAAGTATGCGGTGGTAATTAGATACATGTTCTGTTTTGTTTATTTGATGTTTTATTGACAACTGATGATTACAAGGTGCCTTTTCACTTGAGACATCAGAAAAGTTATAAAATGTTGAAAATTCTCTTTAGATTCAGCAACCATTAAGTTTTGTATGGGCATTACTTGATGTTTTTGCCTCTCGGGTGACTTTCAATCCCCCTGGGGCCAGTGGCCCTTGGATTTGGATATCGCCAATGGGGCAAAGACATCTACTTAATGCTCTAGATACATCAATAGCTATTAGGTGTCAGTAGGTAGCAGCTCAGAGGAGGCTCGAGCAAAAGCAAACACTTATGATATAAGGAAACTTGTCTTCACAACACTTCAAAAACAGTATGGTGTATTGATCAACAGTTAATTAGATATTAAGACAAAAAAATTGTTAAAAAAAGTAGTTCATACAACAGGATGAATGTATTAATCATTGATACTTCAGAAGAGAGATGACTAAAGAGACCGAGCTAAGAATCAATCCACTTAACCCTTCATTATGCTAATTTTTATTTTAAGCTGAAATATTTTCGTATTTTGAACAATTGTCCCTATATATTAGAAAAATATTTAAATAAATATTTTTGCAGTCATCAAGACTTCATGCAAAAAAAAATTACTTTGCATATGTGCAAAGGTGTGCACTGAAGCAAAATTTCAAACATTGAAATGCAGATATACATCAATAATCATACCTCATTATTTTAATAAAAAACAGATACTAATAATTTTCATGCACTAAGAACAACTTTAAACATATATTTATTGTGCAACTTTAAACATTTGTGCAAGCTACAAATGTGTATCCCTAGCTATTTTGTTATTTGTAGGTTGATAATTTGTACTTTCTCGCTACAGCTTACGTAGATAAAGTCTTGAAATGCTGTTGAGGAAACAGTGAAATTTCGACACAAAATTTATTGCTGGGCCCTGGTTACGAAAAAATTGATAAATCGTAGCCCTGTGAATAGTAAATTACTTCCTCAAACAAGTTGTTTTGTCAGAATCCGTTTTGTTGTCCTTTATGCTGAAAAATTGATTGACATCAAAATGTCTGTTTGTCTTTGGTCAACTAGGGCCTAAATTGATCAGCCGATCAGTTTAACTGATTTTGGCAAAATGAAACTACACGTTTCTACTTCAATATATATTGATTGTAAAATTAAAATCTATATTGAAAAACCATTCTTGTGAGTCAAAAGTCATCCTCCACTGAAGGAGACTTTAGACATTTGTGAATCACTTGTGCATATGTTAATTCGTATTCCGTGTGGCCAACAATTTTGGTGTCTTAACAAAATTTCTTCAGTTAAACCAAGGTATTTTAGGAAACGACGAAACAATTTGAAAAGAAATAATTCTTTTTCGTTCTGTGTGTAGATCCATTCAAAAACCATGTCTCAGAGATTACTATAGTATTAATTCTTAACCTGCATTTTTTGAGTTAAAAAATTTTACATTGTTCATCCATTGCCTTTTACAACTGAAAGGAATTACTACATATTCCAATATATTGCCCCCACTCCCCGTTCAGTTTCAATTTTTTCTGGAAAATGCAAATATTTGATTGTGTTAATCTGCCTATTCTCATACCAGTTTACTTTCTGAATTCCCGTAGTCTTTTAAGTCATGGCTTTGGGGATGGAAAAAAATACTGATATTTTCTTGAAGAAAAATTGAATTTCTAATAAGTAATCTTTGTGAATTGCTCGAAACCAACAGCCACCAACATCTATCAATCTTGTTTTTGCCCAGACATCATGAACCCCTTTGCTATTTGCAATGTATCTCCAGTGTTGCCAGGTTAGGGGATTTAATTTGGATGTTGATTCCCTTTCATAGGTATATTGATAGGGCGGGGCAGATTCTTTAACGTTTATGGAGTGGGGGGTTGTCCAGGATGTGTCTTTTTATTAAAATCACAACAAAATATCTACTGTTTCACGCGAAAGGTGAATAATGAAATTGAATGAACTAGTACAGCATATCTGCAGTAGATAACTTAAGATGGGCAGAGATAAAGGCAAAAGAAATTGTTTACTATAAAATTTTACTGAGAGCCAACTATATCTGAATACTACTACTACATCTCGTCAAAAAGAATATTTCCCAAACTGCATTATCTACGTGTTTAAAATTATCGTGGGTTTGTTAGATGTTTACCTCTAGTGAAATGTTTACTATTGATGTTAACTTGTGTAACAGTACGTGAACTCCCGCAAATTAATCCCCACCCTCTCCCTATCCATTTCTCTACCCTTTCCGTTAAGAAGGAAAATTTATTAAAAAGTGTTTATTTGTTAAAATTTATGAATGTAACTGTACTTGCAGAATATCAAACAAAAATAAAAACAAGGCAATTAATGTTGGAAACAAATTTTCAATAATAATATTGTTTATTCAGTATTATAGTGATATGATCTTTGAACAATTCACACTTCCTTTAAAACAACATTTGAAATAATTATCGATCTACCTTGACTGGTAGCTTCTCACTTTCCTTGAGGGTCACAAAAATATTAGAAAAGTTTTTTACTCACGAGGAAGCCAAGTAAAGTTTTCCATGCAACACTACTCGTTGATATATTATTTAACTTGTCTTGATTTGTTATGAGGAACAGAGAGGGTTTTGAAGGGTGCAGGGGGCCAGCTTGCTAGCTTGCTGGAGTGCAAAAATTGAAAAATTATTTGTATACTAAAAAGTATTAGATTATTTTCTTCGTTCTTACATACCTTAAGAAAAGCAATTGCAAGCCAAAAAATAATAATAAACTAATATGTTCACCTTTGAGTAATGAATAACATGTGTTACCATTGGAAACAATTCAGTAGGCTTACACTTCACTGTGGTACATGAAAATGTTGCTAAAACAATGTTTACGTATTGAATATCTTAGCGAACCGACACCTTAAGTGTAATATCAAACTGTGTATTATTTATAGTAGCTTACAGCTGGGCATTGATGTAAAGACTTTCAGATATCATGGAATTTAAATCGTGCATATGGATTTGCTTGCTTTTTTATATTCATACAGTATATAGGTTAGCGTGTTTTGATATTTGTTCATTTATTTCCAGCTATTTTACTTTAGTTAATTTAAAAAGTTTGTTCTTTGTGCTGTGCCGTAGCACAAGTTTTCCCCTTCTACTTCCTCATACCTGTGTGAGAACTCTATATTATGTTTCCTGAAGAAAGTTTAGGTGATGGCATGTTGTGGTGAATTAGGTGAACTACATAACAATCGCATATCTTTATTCTGTGGCAAATTTCATTGTCGCTCTATGTATTCTATTGATCTGTGACTTTCATTCTGTTTCTGCTTTAGTATTTTGTAATTGAACACAGAATATTCAGTAGATGTAGATCAAATAATATCATTCCTACTTTCATTATGCAATGTTCATATGATGTAAACAAGTTCTATGTGCTCAGTGTCTTACGACAATGTAGAATGTGTGGTGTTATTCATCTTCATGTTAGTGTAAGAAAATTTCTTTTGCAGCCCCAGAGTATGATGTTTCCTGGACTACATCCAATGGCAATGATGTCCACATCAAATCTTGGCTATACATCACGTGCTGCTGGTTTCCCTGGAGGCATGTATGGATCAGGACCAGCACCATACCCTCCAATGTATCCGAGTCCAATGCCTTCTCAACCTGGAGGTCAGCAGGGAACAGATACCCAGGTAGAATGCATGTGAAATATTTTGTGGTGTTTGTTTCATATCCAACATAGCCTCTTTCACCCTCCTTCCCTACCAGGAGCTGCATCCATCAACTTCTTGTATTGTCACCAAGAGAGGAGGCGCTGATCAGTCAATACTGATAAACATAATGCCATAACTTCTTATGACTGTTATTTTGCAAATATATCACAAAAATTGGCAATTAGTAGTGAGATTGACCTAGTGAATTAAATTTATTTTTAAAAACTCTCTGTCATTGTCTTTTTATTGAGTTACCATTGTATGTATTTTCCACATTATTGTTTTTGTTAACCAGGAAACAACGTTCTTGTACATCCCAAATAATGCAGTAGGAGCCATTATAGGGACCAAAGGCACTCACATTCGCAACATCATAAGATTCTCAGGAGCGTCTGTGAAAATTGCCCCATTGGAGCAGGAGAAGCCTCAAGACCAACAAACGGAAAGGAAAGTAACAATTGTTGGTACACCTGAATCACAGTGGAAGGTAAGTTTCACAGAAAGAAAGGATATTGTAATGTATGATGTATGGAATATTTCAAAATATACACATTTAACCTTAAGGAAGAAACCTTGCATAGGAGTTTTCTTGCGATTCGGGTTATTTTGTGGTTATTGAGTTGCTTATAATTCGTTGCAGTTGAGTAATGTATCATTACTTTATAGTTGTATTGTCCACATCATATAGCACTTTGCTGGCAGTGCTATGTGCAGTGCATATTAAAGGTGTGAGAGATATTTAAAAAAAAATTACATTTGTGTAATTTGGGGGGGGGGGGATACAGGAAACTGAATTTTTCATCTTAAACAGTGCAATTAGAACTATCCATATGCAAAATTTGAAGAGAAAATGGCGTTACATAACTTAAACGTTCATCCAAGAAATTGAAACAAAAAAAAATAATTTTGAAACACATTTGAGAAAATGTTTGTTTTGGAAGAAGAAAAAAATGAAGAAATGTCGCAGAGGTTTCATGTAAAGTACACTCAAAAATTAATGAATATTTTTAAAATCGCAGAGCTTTGAGTAAGGCCAGAACAACAGATGTTTCTTTAGGTTTGGGAAAATCCTATGAATGGTGTAGGTCTGAATGTTGTTCACATACAACAGATAGAAATTTTGAGAAAAATACTCTTTTTGTATCGAGGGACGCCAAAATGTGCATTTCCTTTTGAAATATCAATTAATTTTCTGCAGCATTACTTAACTTTCTCTGTACTACATATATGAGAAAGTAATAATTGACATATATTGACAAGGTAACAGTAGTCTATGTATACAATTAACAATTTTTGACACATATGAATATGCTATTGTTGTTGAAATGTAAAGCATGTTATTTGATTCAGTAAAGTAGAATTGATTTTGATCCGTCTACCATTGTGAAATAAGGAACCAATCCACAAAAATGTGTAATATCTCAATATTAGGAAATGTTAGAGGGGTCATTTTTGCATAAAATGCATGTCCTTTAATATGCTTTTGTTCAAGTAATCAGCAGATACACTACTTTTATTTGTGAATTTTTTATTAGCAACTACGTCCTTTTTTCTCAGTTAGGTTTCCATGGGGCTTGGTTCCTATTTGCATAATGCAGTCTAATTGTATTCTCAATGGAAAATAAACAGCATGGAATTAATTGGCTGACGTTATGGAAACAAAATTTTTGGGTCTTTCAGTTTTGTGAAAATTTAAATGGAACATACATTTAAATGAATCAAATACAAAATTAAGTTCATTATGCTGTACGTTCAGAATTCTTTCAAATTCAGTCAGCCTTCATAATACTCGTTGGGTATATTTTACAAAGCATTTTACACATGCCTAAGATGTGACCAATTGTTCTGGGGAAGCACTTCCGGTAACTTCTTGGTTTTTAGATTATAGAAAATATTTGTACAAATACTAAAGTCTGATGCTAGTGATTCATGTAAGCCTCTCTTTTGTTAATCTAGGTATTCTACCATTGCTTTTTAATTTATGAAAGAGACAATGTGAAATGTTTTGTCAAAAATTGCTGATCTTATCACATTTTCAGAGAATTCAAATATTTGTAACTACAACACTGAATATAGTAATTACATGAAAGTGTCAGTATCAACATTACATTATTTAACTATACATTGCAAGATGACATTGACTTGAGTATGGATTTTAATTTAAAGTGCTAAGTAAAATCTTTTGTTGCATAACTACTTGGAACAATAAAACCTAAATTAAAAATGATTTTAACAATGATTGTACTATACAATTTTAAAAATAATGCCTGTTACAAGTATTGTACCCACCAGTTTTGTTCCAACCTAGTCGTAATATATGCATTGTAGTTGTTCTTCATTGCAGGCCGTTACAAGGTGAAAAAGCCTTTCTAATAAAGTATTTAATGTTAATTAAGTTACTTAAGCATCTGGAATAGAAGTGCACCTGTCTCTCAAGGTTCACATTTGGGCCCTCCCTGGTTTGTTTATTAATGACTTATGCCTCACAATCGATGTAGAATTTTTGTTGTTTGTCAATGATTAAAGCGTTATTGATATATTTCTCTCTCATAAAGACATTATTGTCTTGCAAATTTGTCATTAATAAGCCATACTCTTGGTGCATATACAACAATATTATTTACGTAACACTTAGGGGTAATATTTGACAATTAAATTAAATTTAATGACCATACAGATAAAATAATCTATAAATCTACTCAAATTTCAGGATTTGTCAAAAGGACTTGCCACTAATCAAATTCAATAAGAACTGAAAACCTTATACATATTGTTCATTAGACCCATACTCCTTTTCAGCTCACCTGTTCAGAATCCTTTCTTTGGTTTCATGTGATGGTTTATGGTCTGTTTATGTCCGTTATGTATTTCGATACGTTTCATGGTTTTTTAGAATCACTGCGCATTATCTTGGATTACCTGATCCCTTTTTGGGTCATAATTATGAAACAATTTCATCAGTGTTCATGATCCCATCATTGAAATTGTTGGGAGACTTGAATCATGTTAAATTTATTTATAAATTGGTCAGTGTTAATATTACTAGACCTTAATTATTGTAAGAATTGAGATTAATGTGCCAAATAGAGTGGGAAGACAATTTCCTCCACTATTTTACACTCAAATGTATGGTACCGAGAACACCCTGAATACTCCCATAACAAGAACGTGCAACTTAGTAAACGTATATGGAATTAAATTATGCAGCATTATTGTAGCGACTTTCAATAAAACAATGGAATCTTTGATTTTGAAATGCAAATCTGTAATGTGATCCTAATTTATAAAGGAGGAGTGTAGTTCTTTTCGAGACTAATCGCAACTTAAATCGCTAGAGCTTCAGAGCATTGTTGTTCGGCCTACTATTTTTGTAGAATTGTATTTTCATTTGGACATACACTGTCTGAGTGATAAGGAATAAATAAATAAGTAATTTGTGAAACCATGTTTTGAAAATGAGTCCTGGCAAAAATCTAATAGATGGAAGGAGACTTGGCATCTCTTCAAGGTAACTGCCCAGTGCACATGAAGTAAATGTGAGGCAAGTATGGAATAAAAACATAGGTTTGTGAAACTCAAAAATTGGTTATCCCTGTATAGTATTGTTTATTATTAGCACAAAAGTTTCATAACTAATTGCTTACATCATCAGGCACCGCCTGAGGGGAAACTAATTGTATTGTGTTAAATCACTTAATTTTATTGAATCAAATATAACTGACAATCCGGAAGATTTTGTCTACAACAATATCTATACAGTATTTGAACTACTCTTGAGTGTGCAGTTCCATCACTCTCAGCTAGACCACTTCCCAATCCAATCAAGTCATATGAGGTGTCATTTGGCACATCTTGGTCTCGTGATGAGGAACTGAAAATTTGGTTTTGGAGCTGTCCAGAAGATTTAAAGAAGTTTCCAAAAATGTGTTTTTTACTTGTTTTGGCACTGTGATCATAGGGATTATGGGGAGAATTAAATCACTGCCCCCTAAATAGATCTATGTAGGGGGGTGTTGATTAAACTTCAGTACCCAAAGGCTTTCGCTCAATGCACCATATTCTTCTTTTACGATGATGGCAACACTGATGAGCACTGATGATACTGATTGGTAGTGATACAGTAGAGCAAATGACGAAACTGTCTGGTTTGAGTGTAATAACAGCAATCACAACATTTGGAATAAAAGTACGAGAAAAGGTACTAGAAGCAGTAGTTGGTAACAATGTATAAAAAATGATTGAGCGCCAGACGAGCCAGATTTGTCTCAGAAATCAGGTCCAAGAAACTGATATGTTTCACATGTAATAAACTTGGGTACCATATTCACTGAAGACTTAGTTGTGGTTAAATGGTTTAATTTAAAAAAATATTGAATAATTAAAATATTTCCAAAATTTAGATCAAAGATGTTCAAGAATTTTGTATTTGGCTGGCCGAGACGAGATGAATCACTGTTGATCAAGCTATTCTTTCAGCCATCAAGTCGGTTGATCTGGCCAGTCTTAAGCTTTGCAAATTTGACAAACCTTCATTAATATTTGTGGCTACTTTACAAGGTGACCTTGGGGCATTTTCAAAAGGTTCTTAAAAATTGCCCCAAATTTACCCTTTAAATTTCTTGTAAGAATAGATTGAAATACCCTTATAAAGGTGGCATTGGTTTGTTTGTCACTGTTAAATAGGATTTTTTGAAAATTGTAAAAGTGAAATATTTTTTGCAACTTCCTACAAGTAGAATATTGAAGAGAGAGATTTTTCAAAAAAAAAGTGGTTGGCCGTAATTAGTTCTTTTATTAGGTCATAGTTGTGTGTAATTTGTGTAATTTTAAGAAGTAACAAAAACAAGATTTTTTTCTAAAATTGCAAAAACATTTTTGATTTCTCTTGTGTCATTAATATTTCATTTAGTGTCGATTGGTAAATCAAATTTTTAATTATCAGTTCATGTGTTTTAAATAATATCCTATTAAGTTTCTCAGAAACAGAAGTTTTACTGTGAAAATTAGCTCAAAATTCCACTTTATCAGAAATGCTCAAACACTATTTACTTAAAAATGCCACCAATTTTTTTTCTTCTCGCTTTTTGCATGAAAAGTTCTAATTGCGTTGTTAAAATGTGACATGAAGTTCCATTAGGGTATTCTTCTGTTTTTTCAAAAATTACATAAATGTATTTTTGTTATAATTTTTTTCAGGCATTGAATATGCACACTTTTAGTGAATTGTATGTGTTATTGCATTTACGAGTGGATGTGTTTCAAATTACTTCCAATAATGTTTTTGTAAACTCAAAATAGTACCATGAAGAAGAGCTTCAAATTTTGCAGTTATAGTCTTAAATGCCTTTTCCTGAAAAATGGCTTCAGTTTTCAACGGAAACTTTCTTGTAGAACAAGTTTTTACTCTTCTATAATATTCTTAAAGTAATATTTTGATTCTACTATTAGAAAACCAAAAAATTGAGATAATTTCATAAAACTGTACTT